TGGACCCAGCTCAGATCATAGTGATCATGAAGAAGAATTAAATGAGAAGAAGACGAAAAAAAAGATGCCTGAGGAGATCTTTGGACCACTTTACAATGGTCTCATCGATCTCAAAAAGCCTAGAGAAGCCGTGACAAAGAAGTTAACAAGTCACGGGTTCAAAGTTTCAACTCAAAAGAGTAATAAAAACGGATCATCTATTTCAGACCCAGTGATGAAAATCCAGTGTGATGCCGTGGTGGTTGGGTCTGGATCCGGCGGAGGAGTGGTGGCCGGACTTTTAGCCAAGGCGGGTTACAAAGTTTTGGTCGTGGAAAAAGGAAACTACTACGCAAGAAAAAATCTTTCATTACTTGAGGGGCAAGCAATGGATGAGATGTACTTATCCGGTGGGTTACTTGCAACTTCTGATATGAATGTAGTAATATTCGCCGGGTCCACGGTAGGAGGCGGTTCAACCATTAACTGGTCGGCCTCGATCAAGACACCGGAACATGTGATGAAGGAATGGTCGGAAAAGTCAGAACTCGAGTTGTTTGAAAGCGATGTGTATAGAGAGGCAATGGATGTTGTGTGTAAGAGAATGGGTGTTCAATGCGGATTTGTGGAAGAAGGGTTTAATAATGAGGTCTTGAGGAAAGGTTGTGAAGAATTAGGGTTACAAGTTAAGAATATTCCGAGGAATGCTTCATCGGATCATTACTGTGGGTTCTGTTCCTTGGGATGCAAGAAAGGTCAAAAGCAGGGGACTTCAGAGACTTGGCTTGTAGATTTAGAGCAATCTGGTAATGGTTTGATCCTTCCAGGTTGTAAAGCGATGCAAGTCTTGTACGAGTGTGAAAGTGGGAACAAGAAGAAAACCTCCACTGGAATCGCGTTTGCGTTTGAGGAAGAGGTTTATGTGGTGGAGTCTAGGGCCACGATAGTGGCTTGTGGCGCGCTTAGAACGCCTCATTTGTTGAAACGCAGCGGTTTGAAGAATAGTAACATTGGGAGGAATCTTTGTTTACATCCTGTAGTTATGGCTTGGGGATGGTTTCCTGAGGAGGATAAGTGGCCAGAGAAGAAGAAAAAGAGCTACGAGGGAGGGATAATGACAGCAATGTCCAGCGTTGTAAACGCAGAAGCAAAGACTACTTATGGCGAAACGGTGATCCAAACGCCTTCTCTTCATCCAGGGATGTTCTCAGGGATCATTCCTTGGACATCAAGCAACGACTTCAAAACCCGAATGCTCAAATTCTCAAGAACCGCACACATTTTCACGCTTTTGAGAGATAAAGGAACTGGAACAATCAACTCAAAAAGTTACATAGACTACAACTTAAACAATGAAGATGAAGAGAGTCTAAAGAAAGGTCTTGAGAGTGTCTTGAATATTCTGATAGCGGCTGGAGCTGAGGAGATAGGGACACATAATTTAGAAGGTAAGCGTCTGAACGTTAGGACAGCGAGTGCGGTAGAGATTGAGAGGTTTGTGAGAGAAGAGAGTTCAAAGAGCTTGAAGGATTTGTCTGGACAGATATGTTCAGCTCATCAAATGGGAAGCTGTAGGATGGGAACTAGACCTGAAGAATCTGCGGTGAGGCCAACGGGAGAGACTTGGGAGGTGGAAGGCTTATTTGTGGCGGACACAAGTGTTTTTCCGACGGCTTTAGGGGTTAATCCGATGGTCACCGTTCAATCTATTGCTTATTGTATTGGACTTAATGTTGTTGAGGCTCTTAAGAAGAAGTGAAGTCTCGTTTTAACTAGACTTGAGTTTTTCATATTGAAAAAATAATATGCTTTCTCTGAGTAGCAACCCTCGCATAACAAAAATTATAAGATTTGTCCCCCATCATCTATTTCCATCAAAATCTCTGTGAAAAAAAAAAACTTTTAATATAAATAAGAACTAGATTTTGACCCGCGCTTGAAAGCGCGGAAATTTTTTATTTTTTATGATTAAAAATTTATATAATTGGGTTTTGTCTTAATTTAAAGAATATTTTGATATAAAATCAGTTCACCAAAATTTGTGGTGATGATTGTTTTTCATTGGTTTTTAGTTTCAGTTTTTATTTTTAGATTTTGGTTTTTGGTTTTTAGTTTTTAAGTTTCTACTTTTCATTTTCAGTTTTTGGTTTGGGTTTTTAATTTTTAAACCCGCTGACTTAGTTTGAACTAATATTACCAACAAACAAACCTCAATAATCGAAAATCTAATTTAAAACTGAAAAGATGATAACAGTTTTTTTAAAAAAAATTTGAAATAGTTTATTTTGTAAATAAACAAAGAAAAAAGTATAACATGTGTTTTCAGCTTTTGGTTTTGGATTTTAGTTTTTAGATTTGGTTTTTGTTTTTGCTTTACATTTTTTAATCAGTAAATTATTTAAGAAAAATAAAACAATAAATTATTTAAAAGTTACCATTGAAATTTATCAAAACAAAGTGATTGTTATTTAAAATAAAAAAATATATTAACATGTTTTAAAGTACATGATTTAAATAAATGATTAATAATAGATAATTTTGTTTTGTTAAAAATATTAAATACCTTTTGAGTCTGAAAATAATAATTTATTTTTTGATCTTTTAAGGTGAAAATTTCATTCAATGTTTTTGGAGTTTTTTCTTAATACTAAGCCAAAAAACCAAACTATCTAATTTGTTCAAAAAATAAAAGTAAGCCCAAGACTATATTACATAAATAACCACTGGTTTAATTTAAGTATAATTAGTAGATTTCCATATTCCATATTTTGATGATATATATTCTTTTAGAACATTCCATATTTGTAGGAGAAAATATGTGACCTGCCGTATTTTGAAGGTAGTTTACATTAAGGTCGTCTCTTTACATTAATTGTGTTGGTTTAATTTAAGTAATACGGTTCATTCAATTATATGACTTATGTTATTTGTAACATTCTAGAAAGGGTCCAAATTTAAATGACAACTTGTATCAGTAGATAAAAAGAATGACTCTATTTTAATAGAGTAGATATTCTCCTCTCTGGCTTTTTCCCACTCTCATTTAGTTTTTTTTTTTGTTTTTTTTTAAGTTTTTATCTCATACGAAGATTAAACATACGGTATGTTTTTTGGGTAAAATTATACATTTACTGTATGTTTTTGGGAAGATTAAACATTTTCCGTATGTTGTTGAATTATACATATACTGTATGTTGTTGAATTATACATATATATGTGTGCGTGCATCCGATTGATTTTGTTCATTCATTGAGGCACCAAATCTAACAAAGGCAAAAGAAAAAAAAAGCATCAGAAGCTGTGCACAACCTTTTCCTCTACACAGTCATATTCTTTCTTGGTCTCGTTTCCTTCATCACATGTTTTGTAGCCGACTTCAAGAGAAAAAAGGTACAACGTAAGCTAACTTCCCTTAGAATCCCTTTTGTGTCTTAATCGAAAAGATAAAACAAAATTTTCTGAAATAGCCACATGTACAGAAAGAAGATCTTCGATGGGACACAGAGAGGAACTGCTATATACTAGGAAGCCTTGCGTTTGGGCTTGGAACAGTCGCTGTTCTTTGCTTCTATCTTGCTCAGGTGTTGGAAACATAGTTGTGTTCCAAAACCACAGGACACTAACCAAAAGAGAATGTACTGGTTACAAGATTACTAATCTTACTTTACCCAATGTTCTTTAGATTATGAATCTTCTATTCTTTTGTAACGTAAATAACTGAATCAAATTGCCAGTATTATCCTACTGAATTTTTTTTTTTGGGTGTTTAAACTATGTGTTGATGATCTCATCTTCTGTTTGGTTTTAACAAGTTGCTGATGTTAGCAGGATATGAATAAGAAGAATAAAAAGGGGGGAAATTTCTGATTTACAAGTTGTATTTAATCGATGATTAGTGCTTTATATTAGGAATGTTGAATGTACATAACATCCCAGCAAGCACTTATTATTGATCATTTAGGATCCCAAAAAGAGAGTCAGTCTGAACTTGAGTATGATAATAAATATACACTAGTTTTTGACCCGCGCGTCCGCGCGGATGTATGTTTCTGTATAAATATATATTTATAGTAGCTGTAAAAAGCATTCATATTTATGTTCATAGGTTATTGAGTTATGAAGTCAGTGTATCTTATTCATTTTGTTTAAGTCTTTTTTCTAACTATCAAGTTGTAATTTTTTGATATATACTTTTTTTTACTTGGTAAACTAAATAATTAAGTGTGAAATATTAAATATCTTGTTAAGATTGTTTGTATTTTATTAAATTCTACTATAAATTTTGTGACTGTAATTATAATTTTAAAATTATACTTTATAGTTATTTTTAAAAATAAATTATTTAGCAAGCAAAAAAAAGACAAAAAATAAGAGCTTTAGCAATTTTATTAACAAAAGCTATTTTTAAAATTGAATTGAGTTGTTTGGTTTTGGACAATTTTGTTTTGATTTAAAATTATTGGACTTTAAACCTATATTGAAGCCCATATAAGAACAAAACTACAGTGTTTTAATTGTAGTGGCATTCTATTGTAATTTTTGAGGAAAACTAAGAGTTATTTCTATTTTGTACTTCTCCTTTGTTTGTTTATATTATACTATTTGCTTTGTCTGATCAATTTATGACTAGCCAGTAGGAAGATTTGTTCCCATCATAACCCCATAAGCCACTATTAACGGTCCACATAACTCTGACTAATCAAAGGTGTATATAAACAACATGGATAATGAAAAGAAGACTTCAACCAAGATGATCCACCATCCTGTACTAATATCTAAGTCAACCATAGTTGAACTTTTTAGATTTATGCCAAAGTCCAGCAGGGAATAGGAAAACAAAATATGGAAGTGGGAATCAAAGATCTTTACATATTTTTGAAGAATTTTAGCTTGTTCTTCAGAAAAGGAATAAATATATAAAATTCTAAAAACCATAAGTTACAAAAGGCAATTTAGTTAGACAAAACACACATGAACTTGTCAATGATATGTGCCACTCACTCCTTTTTGAAACTTAGATTTTACACAAATCCCAAATCTTCCAGTTCATGACTAGAGGGAAGAAGATATGACCAGTGTCGCTCGATAGGGCCAAAGGGATTCCAAGGTCTCCCGATAGGATCAAACGGATTGCGCGAGTTCATGGGAAAAGACCAATCAATAGTACAAGCAGTTTGATTTTCTTGATTGATGTTTCCTTGAGAACTCCATGTATCGTTCTGATAAGAAGATCCATCAACACTATAAGCAGTTTGATATTCTTGGTTGTTGTGTCCTTCAGGACCCCATAGCTTGTACGGCTTGAAGTTCTTAGTGGATGCCTCAAAATCAGACCCTCCATTTTTCTATAACCAAAACAAATAAAAAAATAAAGTGACATATGTATTAAAATGCAGATATGTAATAAAGAGAGAATGCTTATATATATTACCGGCCGGAGAGAAATTGGAGCAGGCGGATCCGTGGTGAAAAAACTTTGAGGAGCAATCCTTGACGGTGCAGTGTTTGTATGATCATGATAAAGTGAAGCACATGGCATAGGTTGGTACATATGGTTCAACCAAGGATCATAGTAATTTGAACCGGGATATTGATGTAAAGCAACGGGTCTACAAGCAATTTGTAATCCATCATTGACTGTTCCCTCAAATGAGGAAGAATCATAATCATATGTAATAGCTTCCTTTTTGCTGAGCTTTTCATTGGAAATTAATAATGGAACTTTTTGGCGCATCTTAGCACCGTCTTGATTGTATGACGAGAATATGTACGGGAGTGGTGGTTTTGGGGAACGATGAATTTTACTACTTAGTCCTCCTCTTGCTAATAAGCTCGCAGGAGACTCAACTACTACATTCTGCAAAAAAATTAATGACACAAGTTTAGTCAAGAAAGCATCAAATTAGAATGATAGATTGTGACACATTAATTAACAACACATACTTGCCTTTATTTGAGTTGTAGTGAAAACAATGTAACTGTAAAGTTCATAAGATGGTGGAATATCAAACCCAATATAGTTCCTGCCCTCCGTACCGTAACAGACCACTGCACAAACACTCAACAACCAAAAAAAAACAACTACTTTAACAAATATTTTCTATAAACTAAACGAAAACTATATATCAGGTTAAAAAAATCTCAACAGAGGTTTCGGTAGGATCGTACCGTTTGCAAGACATAGGGTCTTGTCATGGTGATCGAGATAATACAGATAGCCTTGGTACCGTAAACCGTATTTGGAGACTAATGTGATAATGCTTCCTCTGTAATCGACGGGATGTGGATTTTGTGGTTGTGGTTTCCTTATAGATGATGACAATGGCAAGATATACTGGGAATTGTCAGTCGCCATCATTCCGACCAAACTAACGTGAAATTTAAGAAAGAAGAAGGGTTTTAAGTCTGGTTAGGGTTTTTTTTTCTCCTCCTCTGCCTCGCTTATGTTTTTGCAGTATTGTCAAGATTTGAAATACAAGATTTTGTACGCGGATATAAATACATTATATAAAGCTGATTGTTATCTAGGAAAAAGTAGAAATAGAAATATATGTTATATTTCCTTAACAGATAAACATGATTTTGTAATTTTTCTTTACCCGATTAAGGTTTATCATATTTTAGAAAAGAATATTGGGATCCGAATAATAATCTAGTCAAGGGCATCATGTTCTTGCGCTCTTCGTCCTGCAAACTAATTATCATCCACGGACTCTTCTTTTCGATTCTCTTCATAGATCTGCTCTTCCCAGACGGGCGAAGTATCTTCAGTTCTTGGCACCCGTCAAGCACCGTACGCAAGGCCGCCTGGAAATTTTTATGAATTCGGTATGGACAGATAAAAAGATGATGGCAGCGGCGAGATACACTGGAACACTCAGTCGCCAAAATTCCGACCAAATTAACGTGAAAATTAATGAAAGAAAAAGAGATTAAAGTCTGATTAGGGTTTTCTTCTCTTTTTTTTGCCTCTTTTGTTTGCAATATATTTTTTGAATTTATTTCCACTGAAATAACAATGAGGTGCAAGCTTACTTGAATCTAAGTCTGCTACAGAAGCAAAATTCTACTAAAAGGCCCCAAAAAGAGATAAAATGACCCTTAAATACATAATTAGGTCTAATCTTAATCTAAAGAAATTAAAGCTAAATCTAGATGGAATTGCAGAAGTGATTGGTCACCCGTAGACAAGAGGCTAAAACGCTAATCAAGAGCTTATCCATATGTAACATTGCCATATATGTAAACATGCTATGGTTTAAATATCCATATGTACATAGATATACATGGATTTTATCACGAAGAATTTTAAGTGTTTTCAACAAAAACAAAATGGAAAATAGCGAAACAACATTCTCTAGAATTTTTTTTTTCTCTAGAAAAACTTACTTAGCAAAAGGTAAGTTTATGAGACAAAATCACACATGAACCCGTCAATGATATGTGCCACAACAATACCTTTTTACACAAATCCCAAATCTGTCAGTTCATGACTAGTGGGAAGATGTGGCTATGTGAGAATGGGATAGGGCCAAGCGGATTGCAAGGTCTCCCGATAGGATCAGAAGGATTTTGCGAGATCCTGTAAAATCCATCAATATTACTAGGATCTCCTTTATTATGGTTATTTCTTCCTTGAAGATAACCCAATAACCCGTAATGCATGAGGTTTCTCAGTCAATGTCTCAAACTTGAATCCTTTATCCATCCAGAACAAAAAAAAAAACATGTAAAATTGGTGCATGCTTTTGTGTTAAAGTAGCATCATGTAATGAAAGAGAGACTGTGTTATATGAATATATTACCGGTGGAAAAGTGGTAAAGAACATTTAGGAACAAACACCAGCTTGGACTCTTGGAGGCAGCGTTTGTTGGAGCTTGATGTTGAGTTCGCTCACCAAAAGGCATAAAACAAGGATCATCATAGAAATCTGAACCGAGATATTGTAGTAGATGTTGTAAACCGTACTATGTTTTGGTTACAAGATCGCTCTCTCGCTCTTGATTTCGACACTCGTTTGATATGCGGAAACGATTGAAAGGTAAACAGAAAACGATAAACGACACAGCGAGATGTTAACGTGTTCAGCCTCCACTATCAATGAGATAGCAGCCTACTCACGCTGGAATTGCTTCTCAGAAAATCCACTATCACCGGAGGAAAAATACAAAGATGAATCACCAATCTCACACACTTCTCACGAGAACTTCACTCTCTCTCATTTACAAGAAACTCGATCTATCTTGGATTCACTCTATCTTCTCTCAGCTCTCAATCTATGTATATAACTTTATAGTTAGTTACAGAGTTTGTTACAAACAGCACTACAACCACCATTAAGCTGAGCTTGCAAAACTCGATTACTCCCAAAGCTCTACGTAAACTGACGTCGCTTTATTCTTGGGTCTCAACATTATCCGCGAGCCCAATAGTCTTATAGCCCATTTCAACAATTCTCCACCAAATGACTATAAGACTAACAGCCAAGTGTTCAAAACCACCTTTCCTCCATAGCTCATCCTGCAATCCGGGAACCTGAGACTATTACTCAGACAAAATATGAAGCTTGTTCAAAGCTTCAAGCATCTTGTTCACTGGCACAACCTTTGTGAAAATATCAGCCGGATTACGAAGAGTACCAATCTTAATAACCTTTATGATCATGTCTTCAATTTTCTCCCTTATGAATTGATACTTATTCTTCACATGTTTGGTTCTCTCTTGGTGAACATTATTCTTAGACAATGCTATTGCATTCTGAGAATCACAAAAGTTCTCCACCTTCTCTTGAGAATACCCAAACTCACCAATTAAGTTCCTTAACCAAATAGCCTCCTTTGCAGAGTCAAACAAAGAAATATATTTGGTTTCAGTAGTTGACAAAGCTACAACCTTCTGAAGACCAAACTTCCAACTAATAGCAGTACCCCCAAAGCTGAACACAAAACAAGTCACAGCACGTCGCTTATCCAAGTCACCAAAGTAGTATGAATCACTATAACCCACCAATATAATTCGGTTCCTCCTCTGCATACAAGCTTTGTACTTGAGGACCCTCTCAAATACTTAAGTAACCACTTCACTGCAACCCAGTGATCTCTGATAGGATTCCCCATGAATTTACTCACCATCCCAACTGAATAAGCAATGTCTGGCCTAGTTCCGATCATCATATACATGACACTTCCCACAGCATTAGCATACGGAACAAATTTCATTGCTTCACACTGCTCTCTTAGTTCTTTATCAGTAGCCGACTTAAGTTTAAAATGAATACCAATAGGAGTCTTCACTGGCTTAGATTTATCCATCTGAACTAGTTTCATTACCTTCTCAACATAACCATCTTGAGCTAACTCTAATCTTGATAACTTCCTGTCTCCACTAATCTTCATACCAAGTATCTTTTTAGCTGGACCAAGATTCTTCATTTCAAAAACAGAACTCAAGTCTTTCTTCAGATTGTTAATCTCTTGCATACTCTTGGAAGCAACTAACATATCATCCACATATAATAAAAGATATATGTGAGATCCATCTTTAAACTGCTTCACATACACGCAACTATCAACTGCTTCTCTTGAACTCTTTACTTATCATGAAGTCGTTGAAATTCTGATTCCATTGCCTTGGACTTTGCTTAAGACCATACAACGATTTCTTCAACAACCAAACCCAATCTTTTTTGCCTTTCACTTCCTAACCTTCAGGTTATTTCATGTAGATAACCTCATCTAATTCACCATGCAAGAATGCAGTCTTTAGATCCAACTGCTCCAACTCCAAATTTTCTGCAGCAACAACCTGCAACAAGATCATGATTGAGACATGATTCAGTACCGGAGCAAAGATCTCATTGTAATCTATGCATTCTCTTTAAGAATACTCTTTGGCTACAAGTCTTGATTTAAAACGTGGAGGCTCTACACTTGGAATACCTTTTTTCTTTACATACACCCACTTGCGTCCAATGATCTGCACATTTTTAAGCTTTTGAACAACATCTCAAGTTTCATTCTTCTTCAAAGAAAGCATCTCATCTCCCATAGAAGCATTCCATCTCTCCCAATCTTTATCCTTCAGAACATCAGCATAGTCATACGGTTCTGAAGACTCACCATCATTAGTGGTTAACAGACAACTAACTACACAATTGTTCACAATAAACCTCAGAGGTACCCGTATCTCCCGTCTGACTCTATCACGAGCCAACAAGTAATCTTGCAATACTGGAGACTCATTTGTATCATCTTCTCCTGTTACATTTTATGTATCACTTTCAGACTCAAAAGAATTTTCATCAATATTAGGTTCAATATGCGTCTCTTCAGAGTCCAACTCAAGTTCCACCATTTTGATGTTATCACCTATTTCGAAACTCTTACTACTCTTCTGGACCAATGATTTACATAGAACATCTTCCTTGAATACCACGTTTCTACTGATCACACACTTTTCTTCATCAAGAAGCCATACTCTATAGCCTTTAACTGCGGAAGGATAGCCTAAGAAAATACCCTTCTTTGCTCTAGGATTAAATTTTCCATCATCAGTATACGTGTAAGCTACACAACCAAAACGTCTCAGATAAGAGTAATCCAGACCATCTCTTTTATACCACACTTCATCTGGTATCTTGTCACCAATGGCTGTGGAAGGAGTCTTATTTATCAGATGAACTGCATTGGTAGCAGCCTCAGCGCAAAAATCTTTTGGAAGACCTGATTCATTCAGCATATTCCAGACTTTATCCATCACAGTCTATTCATATGCTCTGCAATACCATTCTGTTGTGGAGTGTAAGCTATAGTTTTGTGTCTCACAATTCCATTCTCCTTACACATAGAATCAAACCGATGATTACAAAACTCCAGTCCATTATCTGATCTTAGCTTCTTGATTTTCTTCACGGTCTAATTTTCAACCATGATTCTCCAATCATTAAACTTCACAAAAGCTCCATCCTTACCCCTGAGAAAATAAATTCAGACTTTTCTGCTATGATCATCAATAATGCTCAGAAAATACTGACATCCACCATGAGATTTTGGCACATAAGATCCCCATAAATATGTATGTATTTAGTCCAAAATATTCAGAGAGATGTGCTTTCCTACAGGAAACTTCATCTTATGAGTTTTACCATAGACCCAGTCCTCACAGAAAGACAGTGATGAAACTTTTTTCCCCTCTAGTAGATGTTTCTGAACTAAAACATTCAAGCTTCTATGACTCATATGTCTCATTCTACTATGCCAAAGATGCGTTTCATCGTTACCATTCACAGAGTTGCAGGCTAATTTTTTTCTTTTTCACACAAGAAATAAAGAGTCTCTTGTCGTCTTCCTTGCAACGAA